ATCGTCCTTTGAGTAGTCATCACTCTTTTATAATTTTCTCTCTCCACGCTTTGAATTTTGATGTGAGACTAAAACCATTGGAAAACTTATTTCTGAGGTTTCAAATTAGATATAAGAACGACCCAAAATGGAGTTTGGACGAGAGAGTTATGTCCATTCAAAATTTACACACCTGAGCTATGGTTATAGTCTGTTTGAGTGCAAGTTTGACCGCTCGAGCGGTCTATAGATTGTGGCATCTCTGAAATTTAAATTGAAGAGAGATCCTACAAGTATTGATTCACCTCTCGAGCACACATTTGACCGCTCAAGTGGTCTGTTCGTAAAAGTAGAGATACTGTAAGCCTTCATTCACCGTTCGAGCTCAGATTTGACCACTCGAGCGGTTTAAATCACCTTTTTGGTCAGATTTCTTATCATTTTTCACTTTTACTCTCTCTCTCTTCTCTCTTCTCTCTTCTTCTCCCATTTTCGAACCACCAAGCTTTTCAAGCATAGATTTCATCTTATTTTTCTTAAAATCTACCCCTAGTTCTTGAGGCAAAAACGTAAAACGCATCGATATCAACATTTTGAGCCTAGTAGATCACATTTTCATCATCGTCAAAGTTTAGGTCTTCACCTATTCACTCTCATCTTTGAGGTAGGAGTTCTCTTAACTTTATATATCTATGATTTGGTATGATTGTGTATTATTTTTGTAGTAATGGGTTTGTATGAGTTAGAGATTTTTGGATATAAATGTACTATTGTATGATATAGCAGCCCAAGTTAAGACCCGACCCTCTATACTCTTTCATTCAGAATATGGTGTTCATTGTGGTTGTTTATGCCCATTCTTTTCTTATATTGTTGTTTAGAGAGTTGATATTATGGATGTGCGATTGTTTGAAATAGGTTGGGAGTTATTTTTTAAAAGGGATTTTGTTGGGTTCTTTTTAGGAGTGCTCGAACGATCTTTGGTTCCTTTCAGTATTTGTATTTGTAGTCTGAACTTTTGGAAATGGGGTGCTCTTCGCTCGAGCAATAGTTTGGTCACTCGAGCGATTTTTTGTGTCTACCGCTTAAGCGGTATTTCTTTCGCCCGAGCGGTATCTTTGTAGGTCTGAACTATTGGAAGGGGGTCATTGTACGCTCGAGCCATGATTTGGTCGCTCGAACGATTCCGTGTGTTTGATGCTCTAGCAGTGTTTCGATTGCTCAAGCGGTCTGTGCGTATATCAATATGGGAAAATGATATTTTCTTTTACTTTTTGATCTCTCTCTCTCTCTAGAAAGTTTCTTTATCAAATTTTTTCACTCTCTCTGTGACGGCACCGACATGCATATCATTAAGTGCATTATTATTATGTGAAATTGCATGTTTATGTGCTTAATTTTGCTTTTATCTGTTTATGCATGGAATATCTATTAGATGCCTCATTTGAATTAGAAACTGAAGGCCCAAACAAGTTCAGAAACCAAAATTGGCTAGTACAATAGGCTAAATAGATTATTTAGAACCATATGGGAAGTTTGATTAAAATTTGATTCAGACTAAATTAATTAGAATTAATGATTAGAATTGAGTAAGATTAATTAGACTTAAGCTAGATTAATTAACCCTAAGCTTGATTAATTAGTCTTGACTAATTCGAAGTATATGTATATATATTATAATTAAGAATTTGAGCTCATCTTCATCATTTTGACTGAGATTTAGAGAGAGAGAGAGAGAGAGAGAGAGAGAGAGAAAGAAGGAGAGCTTCAATTTAAGAGAGAGAGAGAGAGTTCAAGAATTGTGTAGAAAGAAGGAGAATTAACATTAATGTAAGAATTCTATGTTTTATAAGCACCTCAACATGGCATAATTTGAAGAACCAAATTTTTCCTATCATGTTCTCGTACAATTAATATTAGGGGAAATATCAAATTAGTGTAATTTTGAAAAAATAATTATAAATCAGTGAAATTTTTATAAATATTAATAATTAAAATCCCTCTGGGGTGAAATCACCCCTTAATATTACAATGCCTTATTAGTTTAAAATAAGTTCTAACTAATTCAATGATTTCTTGTAACAATGGCACTTCTGAAATATTGATATAATTTATTCTCTCTCTCTCTCTTTTTTTTTTCTTTTTTTTTCTTTTTTTGGGAGAAATAGCACAATTTTAAGTTCTTCTACTATCCATCTTAAACAAAAGGCTTAAATGCTCCTGCGAATGCACTTAATTAAATTAGCTAACTTTTATTATTAATTTATAGTAATGTTGCTTATTATATTAATCCTATGTTAAAAATTTGTCGTCTAGCGAGATTGTGAGATTATATTTTAATGATTTATAAGAAGCATGCTCAAGACAAAGAACAAGGCAACAGAAGCCTCTAATATTAATATTGAAAGACAATTAAGATTAGGGTATAGATTACTACTATAATCGGGGCAAACACATTTCTAATTAACTTAAATAAAAGGGAAAAAAAATATCGTGCAAGATCGTGAGTACTTAAAAATGTTACAGATTTGTTTTGTTTTGTCTTAACTTATAATGAATGAAATGATTAACATCTGAAAATAAACTATCCTACATGAGAATCTCACTATAGAGTAATTAAGGGATACGTGAATACGGACATAACTATAATAATAACAGTAGGGGATTATAATATTTTGCAAGTGTGTGATTATTGTAGCTCATAATTCAAGATTAGTGTCATAATTAAGAAGAATAAACAAGTTATGTTGCTATTAATGCTAGATGTGGCTTCTCCCTATGTATGGAGAAACCATGTCAAATAGCAAAAGAGGTGACTAAGAAATTATTATTATTATTATTATTATTATTATTATTATTATTATTATGTTTTTGGACATTTAATAGGAGATTAATTGTAAATACGAGAAGAATTACATCAAACTTAATAATTATAGTCTAATGGCTAGAAGCTCAACCACCATCACACAAAAAATAATCAAAATTTTTGTCATCAAATCTCTCTCTCCCTTATTCCAAAACATTCACAACCTCTGAATCATTCGAAATCTCAAGAGGTGCAGTAATCTCAATAAAAATTTAATGGATATGGATATTTTGGGATGGAGGAATAGAAAATTTTGGAGCTTGAGGATCACACGCCTAAAAAAATAGCCAATAATTAAAGAAAATAAATAAATCAAATACAATAATAAAGTAAAATATAAAATCTCAAAATGAAGACAAACAATCCTTCTAATTTCTTAGATAGATAGAATGTATATGAGTGATTAACTGAGCTAATCTAAGTGATTAAGGAATTAGAAATGGGATTTTGAAGGTATTATGGATGAATTCACATGCTTCATAGCATGCTTTGATTCCTTTAACAAAAGCTAAAAACACTAAAATGGGAGAGAGGAGAGAGAAGAGACACTCCCCAACCACATGCTTCATGGGAACCATCAAACACCAAATGAAGCCCAAGAGAGAGTGAGAGCATGAGATCCCAAAAAGTAATACAAAAAGAAAGGTTTGGTTCTCTCAATCTTGCCTCCCACTACATTACAACTCCAAGCCCTAAACCCCATAAAAGAGAATATATATTTATATAAAAGTACATCTGCATGCTGGGTTACAGATAGCATTGCTTTAATGCTGTGTTTGGTTGGGGGACTTGAGGAGCGATTTGGAAAGGGAAATGGAAAAGGTAGGTGGAATGTGAATAAAACATGCCTATATTTCACATAGTTTCACACATCTTTTCCCTTTCCCTTTCCAAATCCTTCTCCAAATCCCCCAACCAAACACAACATAAAAGAACCTTTCATGTCTTGGTCATTGCAGATGTTCTTTCATTAGTTTTGTTTAATTTTGATATTATTGGGACACTCAATTTCCTAGAAGAGGCCCATCAATGGACATAGAAAAATAAATAAATAAAGTTTTTGTTTTTGTTTTTCTGAAAAATTGAAAGCACTATTTACTTGGTCATTTTCTGATCCATAAATTTCTTTAAAAGATTATGACAATGGCATTGTTTATTGAGAAAAATTCTTTCGGAAACTGAATACCCATTGCATAATTAATGGTTACCAAAGTAGCTGGCTCTAATACGAAATAATATAATTTTTTGATTGAAACTCATCCTTAAAAAAACTAGAAAAAGATAATATTCAATTTATATTCACATGATGAAATTCTCACTTTAAAATAGGGGGAATTACATCCTAATGAGACATAATTTTCTTTTCTTTACACAAATATGGAAGGGTGCAAGCCACACTTGCACCTCTGCAACCGTTCACTTGCCCCCTATTAAAAAATCACTTGCACCTTATATATTTTTATAATTTTTTTTTCTATCACACTCTGTTGAAATTTTTCCTTTAAAATATGAGACAATTGTTAAGACTGTGACGACTTTTCTTAAAAGATGGACAGCCCCAAATAATGGTAGAGACCTTAACTATAATTATTATGGCTTTTACAATTTTGACTAGTAAAAAATTAGATGAGGATAACTTTGTATTAGCAAATTGAAAATCATGAATTTTTTGATTAAATACTAGGATGTGTCTATGCAAATTCTAAGGTGTCCTTTAATAAGACAAATCAATCTTTCACACTGTTGGTGATGTATGGTAATCACATACTTAAACTCAAGTTGAAACTTTCAAGAACTTCAAATTATTATAAAGAAAAAGAAAATGAAAACAATTATGCAATAAAAAATGAAATGTATAGTTCAGAGTCTAATTAGGTATGGTGTACGTCACATGCAAAATAAATCTGATGTACATATTTTATTTTTTAAATATATAGTAATATTGAAGAAAATAGATGTATATATCGAGAAGTATGCTTCACAAAGGTTGCTGTAGACAGAACTTTTTTTTTTTTTTTTGGTCGGCGAAAAAAAAATATTTATTGATGAAAAGCAAAGTACAAGGTACAAAACAAAACATCAATAAAAAGAGACAAGTGCAAAAACATCGTGATGAGGTAAATCATCCCAACTATATTGACACAAAGAACCCATCCTATCATTTACTAGCACCTCAAAGTTGGTGAGCCACCAACCAAACTTATGATGTAATTAGAACTAACCTTAAATAGTACTTAGAAGCTTTGCAAACTTACTAATGAAAACCAACCATTTGACATTCTTCAATGTATGATATTACAAAACTGGGTTAGCTAATTGTGCACATATAAATGAAGACAAAACAATTAGCCACTAACTAAAATCCTAAAGCTAGTGCCAATAATCCAGACAATTTGGGAAAAAACTAGAGCATGGCCACTTGGGGGTTAGTATATATAGCTCAGATGGAACATGTAGTGGGAAGTAATAAAAAATATATATATAATAATATATCCTAGTTCCTAAAAGATAATAAATGAAACAATGAAACCTTGGTCACTCCAATGTAAAAAACTATATGCTCTCACACAAATGATAGGTACATCTTGGGATGTTTTAAAAATTTAAGATCTTTGGTCTTGAACAACTTCTCGATCAACCAAACGTCGAAAGATGATTGGTGCACCATATTGTGGGTAGAGAAGCATCAGGACCGTTGGTGCATGTTGATAATGTGGGGCCAAGCTAAAGGAGAAGCGTTGCAGTGTGATCGCGAGTGTAAGCTTTGCCTGTAGGATCGCCAGATTTTGACCGATGCAAGTGCGGACCCCAAGGCCAAATGGAATGAACGCCACAGGATGCTTCGCTGCACGGGCTACGCCATCAGAGAAACGAGAGGGGTTGAATTCATTAACATCATTGCCCCATATGGCTTGATCGTGATGAACGGCCAAGATTGGTATCAAGAGCTCGGTTCCACGGGGGATCATGCATCCTCCGAGCTTCACATCAACTTTTGTCCGTCTGATTGTCGCCACGATTGGTGGGTATAGTCGCAATGTTTCATTGAGAATCATACTGAGCTGCACACCAAATCATAGTAAATATAAAATCAGAATTCTTCAATAACGATGTTACCTTTACACGTGACCATTTTGTGAATTATGATTAGCTCCACACCAAACAACAGTTAATGCTGGGAACACAGCTTGCTTGTTTTTTTTTTTTCAAAAACACTTTTTAGAAAATTTTATTTTCTTATTTTTTTGTATTTTTTTTGTTTTTATTAAATTTTTTTAATATTTTAAACAATTTTTTAAATTTTTAGACACGCTTAACATAAATACACATAAAAAGTATAATTTTTGTAAAAAATATCTTTTAAAAATTTACTAAATATCAAAAATATAAATAAAAAAAATACAAGAATTCAATAT